TGGGGTAAAAATGGGAGTTCATAACCCAATTGAGTCAAATGTATGAAAGATGATATATCATGAGCTTTGTAATGTTTTGAACAACCAATAAAAAAAAAAGAAGTACCACTCTCTAAGACCACAGTGCTCTGGGTTCTCAGATCTCATAGACAGAGCCTGGTGGATGAGTTGCCATGTCAAGAGAGAAGACAAGACTCACAGAAGAACCAGGCAGGTGAGTGAAGAAGCCATTGTGGAATTGGTTCTTCCAGCTGCCCAGCTGGTGCCATGTGGACCACACACAGATCACCCTTCCAGAATTCTTGACCTGCAGAATTATCAAATGTAACAGAAGAGTTGTTTTAATCATTTGAGTTTGGGGTGATTTTTAAAGCAGCAATATCTGATTGGAATGATCTTATATAATCCTCAAAATGGCCACAGAAGACATGAGTTATACAAATAACTATATACCCATAGTGTACCTTTGGTATACTATACCCATAGCATATCTATGGTATACTGCTGGAAAGGATTTCAAGAATATAGTAAACATTATTAGAGAAAGAACATCAAGCACCTCCTGCCATATTGTTCAGAGTCAAAAAGATTGCCCACAGTTTGAGAAGAACTAGAGTAATGTCAAGTGATTATTTTGACCTTAGGGAATCTTCATCCTCCAATGATATATGTCTCTCAGACTCTCAAATCAGATCTTGAATCCAACTCTCATTTTAGATGGCTAGTGCTTGCGAATAGTATAATTTAGAATATCGGCTTTCCTTGACAACTCTATTTAATTACTGCCTTTTAAAAGAGGTCTATGCTCAAACCCTTAGAATCAGAGAGGACATTATGAATAGGATAGTAGTTGATACTAAGTAAAAACTCACTACTATGCCCCTGAATGAAATATGCTGACAAAACCACTTTTACTTAATTATGGAAATAATCTTTTTTGACAATAAAAGATCAGACAAATCTTTAAAATATTTGAAAAAAAAATATTTTAAATGAATCAGATTTTTCTTAAACTAATGCCTTACCTTCTGATCTTGAGTAATCATGTCTGGCTCATCCAGCAGCCTCTATTTTCCTGAATGTCAGAACGAATCTTCTTTTTATCTGCATCCCTTATACAACGAGTACTGTGCTTGCACACAATGAGAATACAGAAAATATTTTTACTAACTTCCATCATTGTCAGCTGATTTTATAATACACCAATTCATATACTCCTTGCAATCATTTGGCAACACACTGTCACCCTTGTTTCTACAAAAAAAAACCAAGCCTAAGAGAAGGGAAGTGATTTGCCCAGGATGGTCCTTAGAAAAAGGCAAGGTCAGGATTCCATCTTGACGGGAGTTCTGTGGAAACAGGAGACAAAAACAATCAAACACAAGGCATTTCATTGCTCTCCTGCTGTTGTAAATTTTACTCTTTTCTCTCCTTTTTTGCTCCATTGACTTACCATATTATGCTTTTCAATTACAGCCATCAACTTCCTCCCACAATTGCTCAGTATTCTGGGCTGTAATTGCTCCTCAAAGAACCCGAGCCCACATGCCTACAATTTCCCCATCAACTCCACAGCCCTCACAGCCTCCACAGGACCAAGGCTAATGCAGCCCACGGAGGCATATACACCTGTGATTACTGCCATTTTCCACTGGTTTAGTTATCCCAGGAGAAGCATATTCTGGAGTGCCTCTTAAGTGTTGTGTAGTGACAACATTCTGATATAAGTAGGAGGCCAACAATCATCATCCCACATGTTATTATCCAAAAGTGGTCCCTTCAAGGTGGGCGCTGACATGCTCACTCACACGACTGAGCCAAGATACAAAGGTGAGTTTCTCTGGGATTAAGGTCTATTTCTTGTCCTTAAGTTGAAGGCAAAATGCTCCTCAACTTGATTAAAGTCTTCACTTATGTGTTAAAAAACCTTCAGTGAATAAATGACTGACTTTTGCTGTACAAGAAAATAAGTAGTTGAGCAATAAAGGATTCCTCCAATTTCTTAGGCATAAAATTCTTTTTAACATTCACTATTATTATTATTACCATGTATTGAACC